TCAGTCTGTCTTAGATGACCCCTATTACTTTTACTTTCCTTTGGGTTAAAGCAGTCATTCTCATTTTTCTCCCTTGAAGCATGCCTGGTAGCAGAGGAGAGAAAACAGGAATGCCCTTGGGATTGCTGTATATCAAAGTGCTGGCAGTAGCTTGACATTTCTTTGAAGTTGAATGTTCATTGTTCAAATTGCACATTAACTTTGCACTTCATGCCACAACAATTTCGGGTTTATTTTAGTGTCCAAGAGATGTTTCAATTTATATACTACCAAGTGGAAAGCATTCTCCCCTGTGTCTCCTTCCTGTTCCCCTAACACCTCTGTTGGAGGAAACACTGTTAAAATACTCCTTAAGCAGTATCAATCATGCATTAATACCATGAAATGGCTTGGTTGATCTGAATACCTAATTCTTCTTGGGGGAAATGATACACAGAACAAAGATGTTCTGAGTGAGAGGTTTTAGAGTAAGCTGGCTGGTTAGAAGGAGCTTGGAGGGGGCTGTGGCAGAGTAGAAAGAGAAAATGCTAGGTGGTGAGTGGAAATGGCTGCACCCACCAGCCTTCTGGTTAGCAGTCAAATGCCTTAGGCACTACACCACCAGGGCTCCGAAGACCAAGAAAAGTCAGCATGAAAAAGAATGTCAGAATTATGGTTGTTAACAATAAACCTTGCCTTCCTATGATTTTGCCTAGAAGGCATCTTTTCTGCTTCTGGTGCCTCAATTGGGAGACCCAGGAAGGAGGCACAGTGATTCCTGAAGCCACAGAACAGAAAGATAATCTCTAGTCCTCCTTCTTAACAAAATGTGCTGTTGTGCTGTGTTGTTATGTGCCGTCGAGTCGCACCCGACTCACAGCGACCCCTCCTTGGGTTTCCGAGGCAGTATCACTATGGAAGTAGATTGCCCAACCTGCCTTCCGAGGAGTGGCTGGTGGGTTTGAACTGCCAGCCTTCTGGTTAGCAGTCAAGTGCCTTAGGCACTACGCTACCAGAGCTCCTTCTTAACAAAATATAGAGCAAAATTTTATATAAATGTTTCAGTGTACACTCTTTGTAATTCAGCCTTTAATTTCTGTTTCCTCTATCAGTTAATAGTTTAACTTTTGCTCATTCTATATTCCCTGCCTGTGTAGTGCAGCCAGGACGTGTTGTCTCCTGGGTTATCAGGAGATGATGTAGTCGTGTTCTTGTGCACTGGTACACACTGTTTTCTCCAATTGGCCATTGTTTTCTAGAGAGACTGACTTCTATTTACCAGAACCGGCACAGTCTGGTGGTTAGGCTTGGATGTCACCTCTCTGCAACTGATGAGATGACATTTGGTCTGATTAATTAAATGCATTTCATAACCTGCGATAGGAAAAGGGCATTTGAGACATTATGCAGCTGGGGTAGCAAGCCTGATATTTTTGTGTGTTTCACTGTTCTCTTCCAATTAGGAAGGGGCAAGTTTTGTATTTGGTATGTTATTTCTTAAAAACAGTATTTTATTGTACTTTTAGTGAAAGCTTTTAGTATGCTCTTATAATGCTCAAAAAATTGTCAAAACTAAAGGAAAAAGGAACACTTACAAGTAATACCCTAAAAATGAGTGTGAGTATAATTCCATTATTTTGCTTTAAAATGAATTTTTCTCTTTGAAAGAACAATATCACAATGCATATATCTGTAAACAGACTCAGCTAAATGCATTTTTTAGAAAAAATTAGTCAAAGTTTTATTAACTACACACAACACCAAGATATTTGTTACAGAAGAAGACACAAGTCATGTAGTGGTTAAGACGACAGACCTTGGAGTGAACTATAGGACTTGAATCCCACCTCCATCCCTTAGCAGTTGTATGACTTTGGGAAAGGTAATCTCTCAGGTCCTCAGTTTTTGTTTTTCTTTTACTGGTAAATTGAGAATAATAAGAATGCCGATCTCATAAAGAAGTTGTGATGATTAAATGAGCAAATACAGTAAAAGAAGAGTGCTTAGTACAGAGTTATTTGCAGTAAGAATTGCATTCTTTAAAGTAGATGTTACTTCACGATTCAACATTAAGAGAGGACTCACTCACTGCCACTGAGTGGGATCCAACTTGTAGCTACCTCTCCTTTGGTTTCTGAGGCGGTATCGCTACAGAAGTAGATTGCCCCATCTTCCTTCCAAGGAGTGGCTGGTGGGTTTGAACCGCCAGCCTTCTGGTTAGCAGTCAAATGCCTTAGGCACTAT